GCCATAAAGAGTAATAAATCTTCTATGCTCGTGCATAATGAAAAGAATGCTTTATGTGATGGTTATATGGATGAATCTATTCATGATGCTACTGAAAATTATTGTGAGAGAGGAACTTATGATTCATGATCCTCTTGTTAAGTTTCAATCTTTATCTTTTATGAGAGCATCATTGAACTCATCATGCCTAGCTAAAAGGCATTAAAGAAAAGCGCTTGTTGGGAGACAACCCAAGACTTTTACCTACTGTTTTTGTGTGTTCACATGATTATGCTACTGTAGTAATCATGTTTTATTGCTTTTGTTTCAATAAAGTGCCAAGTAAAGCCTTTGGGGTCATGTTGGGTGATAGTTGATTTGATCTTGCTGAAAAACAGAAACTTTTGCGCTCATGAAAATAACTCTTATTTTTAATAGAAGAGTGCTTTTGAGTTGATTCTTTTTGTAGAATATTAATATACAAATTTCTCACGTGTTCCTAATTTTTTCATAATTTTTGGAGTAGCATAAGTATGGTTTGAGTACAGATTACTACAGACTGTTCTGTTTTTGACAGATTCTGTTTTCAATGCATAGTTTGCTTGTTTCCTTGTTTCTATAGCTTATATTGCTCAATATAAATTGTGGAAATGATATGCTACAGTAGGCATTGTGTGGAAACAATTATGAATATTGTCTTTGACAGTACCAAAGTGAAATGGTTTGCTCTTTATCATACTAACCTATCTCACGAAGTTCCGTTAAGTTTTGTGTGATTGAAGTTTTCAAGTTTTGGATGAGATGTCGATATGAGGAGAATAATGAGTGACAAGATCCTAAGCTTGGGGATGACCAAGGCACCCCAAGGTAATATTCAGAAAGATCCAAGCAACTAAGCTTGGGGATGCCCCGGAAGGCATCCCCTCTTTCGTCTCCAACATTATCGGTAACCTCACTTGGAGCTACGTTTTCATTCGTCACATGATATGTGTTTTGCTTGGAGCGTCAATTTATTTTGTTATGATTTGCTTGTTGTTATTTAGAATAATGTTTTGCATCTTTTATTTCAATAAAAGTGGCAATGATAGCATTTGCCATGCTTATTTAGTTAAATGTAAGTCTTCCTTTGAAAGTACTCTATGCAACTAGTAGTATAGTATATAACTATATACCTTGCGAAATAGAGGAGTCACCCAAATCCGGATTTGGGTCTAGATCAACTCTAATTTTCAAGCTTTGCTCCACATCTCGTGCTAGCTGCTCTGCACATTTAGCAGCCATATCATATGTTTCATCGAACGCTGTGGAACGAGCAGCTATGTGGATAAACATTCTGCACAAGTCCTTGTAAAAGTTCGACATTCTTGCTTTTAGATTTTCATGCAGATTGTGATTGCTTGTTATCTCTAGCACTTTAGCATCAATATATATTGTTCAGGGATATGCTTGATATTATTAATATCAAGTATCTTTAAGCAATGAGAGCAGAGGGTTCCAGCAAATTCAAACTTCTTGCAGCTGCAATTGACCTTTTCTTCGTTTGGATAAAAACTGACAACATGCTCGCGTTGCGTTCCATGAAATTTTACTGTGTAAACCTTCTTCTCTTTATCACTTGAATCACAAAGAAATGTGTCATAGTTTAGGGTACGAAGCACTTGCTCCTGAAACATCTTGAATATTGCGGGAGTATATGTAGTTGCGGCTTGCCTTAACACATAGCTACCTTCTTCCTTCAGCTTAGGAGTAGTTTGTGACGCCTTGAAGTCACACTTCACCTCTACAAATCTTTTATCCGCAACTAGACACTCAAAATGCTCGAAAAAAGTAAGCATGTCATATTTAATACTAATGTACCGCTTCAATTCATTATTCATGCTTTCACTTCTTTGGGTAGTGCTCATGTGGGCTGAGAATGTATTTCTGCCATACACTAGTGCCCATTGCTCCCTTTTCTCAAACAGCCTTTGCAGCCACGTATTGTCACGGAACCCATACCTGTCTAGCATTCTATCCCATTCATTTATAAAATTGTCTTCTTCCTCAATATCATAGATACAATGCTGGAAATCAGCATTGAACTTCTTATATTCTTCAACAACCCCAGCAAGGTGCTTGCAAGCATTTTGATTCATATGCCACACACAAAGTCTGTGGTGAGAGTGAGGAAGGACTTTACTGATTGCCTTGGCCACTGCTGCATCTTCATCGGTCAGAATAGTCCTTGGATGTTTCCCAGACATAGCTGTTAGAAATGTTCTAAAAAGCCAACCAAAACTTTCAGCAAGTGTAGCATCAAAGACCATAGTTTTCTTGTGATTATTCACCCCAACAATCAAACCAAAGGGACGCCCCATCATCTAGTTTCCTTTTCCTATATGTGGTGTCAAAGCGTATAACATCACCAAACATTGCATAGTCTGATATCATTTTGGAATCAGCCCAGAAAATATTAGTTATCAGATCATCCTCATCAACTTGAACTGAATAGAAAAAATTGGCATCTTCTTTTACCTTCTTCTCCATGTATTCTAACACTCCCCCTGTGTCTCCTTTCTTTGCTTGCAGTGTTCTCTTAGAGTACAAACGATTTTTCATATCTTCGGGTGCAAACCCAAGATTTGGAAGTCCACATGCTTCTTTGGCCATAAGATCTATAGTTGCTTTATTTGAAATGTCCACAGACTTTGCGACTTCAGCGTTTGCTATTTGTGCTTCTGTGACTTTTCTTTGGGATCTTAAGTATAGGGCCATGTCTCCGGTAGCAAGAGGATGGTTATGTGGTGCCTCAAATTCGTACACATAATATAATCCATTTTTGAGACTTATCTTCATATGGGCTTGACAACCACATCGTGTTTGGGGCCTACTGTAACTGAAAGAATCCTCTCTGCTATCTTCAGCATGGAATCCTGTCAATTAGAGCAATTATCTTAGTGAAAACAAAAGTAATAGTAGTATGACCAAAACAAAATACAAGCAACCCATACCTTGACGGGAGCACGTAAATGCCCGTTGTTGTATTACTGCAGTATTCTTCACTTTATGGTGACTCCCTCTTCGGATGCTAAAACCAGTAACTTTTGCATATTTGTTATAAAATGAGTAGGCCTCCTCTTCAGATAAAAATGTCATGTCAATCTTTGGTAACCTGTTGTTAGTACAATTTGTTGCAACATTTTCTTGCACATCCTGTATGAATTAGTATTCAATTTTGTTAATGCACATTTTCACATATGTTGTATTGTGCTTACCATGCGTAATTTGACTGGATTTATGAAACACGGATTAAAAAAAGATTACCCATGTAATAACAGTATTATCAAACAATGTAGACTAATATGCACGGGCTGCTGTTTTATTAGAATATGCCGACTGGAGTATTAACTGAGTATTAAGCATCTATTTGACATGTGCAGTTTCTTCATGTACCAGGCATAAGGCTAGTATAATTGTAACCGGTCCACAAGCTGTATCATCCTATACGAAGCAACACATATGTTTTATGATCATGATCGACATTTTCAATTTGTTTCCATCAGGAAGAATTAACATTCTACAATCATGAAGGCATTTTTTATCTTTATCAGCAGGGAAAATTAGTCAATAAATTTTACAAGAAAAAGAACAACGAAAAGAGATCAAGACGACCATACTTTTGGTCCCTGGGATTCATTGCCGTCCTCATGGATTCGAGGATCGATGCTTGAAGAAGCCATGGGGAACAAGATGCCCCTTTCCTTCAGCCCCTAGGTCACCTTGCTTCTGCCCGATTGATGCACCTTAGCCTTGTGAATTTCTTTCTTCCGCCTAATATTGAACTTGTTTGATGTGCTTCTACCAGGGATCTTGTTCCTGATTGATGTGGGTGATGGTGAGATTTGCATGTTTCATATATGGATAATCAGGAATGTGTGTGTTTTCATCTCGATTAACAAAGGTCTAAGAGGTTTGACGCCCAAACCTCTTTGTTCTGTATGTTGGCGGCAAAAATTGGAAGCACAGATGGGAGCAGGGGACGGGAGCAGGCAAGCCTCATCCGTGACAATTATGCCATGGTTGAAGGTGGCGACCTGCTTGGTCTCATTACAGATTCATGTGTGGCAATGTGGCAGTGTTTTCTTGCAAGGTTCGGGGATGACATACAGACTACAAAGATCTTTGTGTTTTACTGGTCGTTTGTTTTAGGATGCTCTTTGTTTTTGTCTTTTCTAAGTGTCAGGGTGTGCTTGTACGAGTCTAACGACTTTGTATTATTACATGATTTGAATACAAGCATACTTTCTCAAAAGAAGTAAATAAAAACAGAGGGAGTACTACACTCCGTCTGGAAATATAACGTGGTTTCCAACATTTGGTTGACCAACAATATGTGCAGCAAAACAAAAAAAAAAGTATGTAGTGCTTTAAAATACACAAAAAAAAACACCTGTATCAAACTTTCATGACATAATACACATACATGTTAATCAACATCGCAACTTACATTTTCGGATGAAAGCTGCCTGTGAAGCCCCGTCCTAACAGAGCACAAGCTCAAAAAGTGGATGCGAGGAATAATTCCAATCTCACCATAATCCACAAGTCTACACATAATGGTACGAATAGAAACATACAGTATCAATCACCGCACTCAAATTTAAGGCCACCAAATGATAATATACAGTCGTTAGATGATTAGCCTAGCATTGTACAACATGATGTCAAATGTACCCAGCAGTCAATAAATCCGATTAGCAACAAAAGAGTTATAAATGCACATCTAAAGGGATGGCTCTCTGCAAATTAGTATCTTAAAGATTACTTGGCAACCATTAGATGCCAATTTTACAGCGGTTAACGGTACAACAAGGACCCTTCCCTAATGCACTCAACTTCACTATATGGCTAAGCTACCTGAACACAGCATCTCTTTGGATTATAGTATGTGCAAGTTTCTCTGAATCAAGTCTGTTGCATGACTGCCACCACCATCACCCCCAAATTGCGAAAATGTATTGCAGTCAAATCACACGCGCTTGTTATTCCTTCGGTCGAGCAAGCCAAAGAGAACTTAGGGCACGAAGCCGGGATGAGTAATCACTTATCACAAGAAGTGCACGGGCAGACTGCCTTGTGGTCAGGATCCTTTGCATCTGCTGAAGAGTCTGCTGCCGCAGGTTGTCAGCCTTGATAGTATTAAAACAAGAAAGGATGTCATAAACACACCAGTCATAAAAGCATATAGTTAAACAGGATTTGCAGATCATTTTGAATTGAGAAAAGTCTATTTTTGGTCCCTCAACTCTTCGCAAATTGCAGACTTCGTCCCTCGACTCTCAAACCAGACATCTTGCACCCTTAACTCTTTAAACCGGACAACTTTGGTCCCTCTCCAGAACCGAAGCGGTTTGTTTCATGACATGGCGCGGCTTTGACCGGGCCGTGTCCACGTAGCAATATATCTACTTCTTCCCATCTATCTCCAGTGTGGACATTTAGTCGACCATTTGGCGTGCGTTGTCTGCCGCAGCCAGCGGCATGCCTCCATACCAGCCACCGCCAGTGCAGCTCCTGCTGCAGAGTGCGCACCACCTCGCAGCAGACATGACAGCCCTGGCCTATGACTGCGCCGTGCACGGGCCACGGGACACCGCAGCACCTCGGTCTCTCGCGCGTACAGGCAGGCAGCACGGGGCGATCCTTCCGAACCGGAGCGACGATGGTCAACACGCCGCCATTTCTGCCCCGGAGCGAGGCCTCACCAGGAAGGAAGCAAGGACCATGCTAGGGAAGGGGAAGCCGCCATCGGCGTGCTGAGCCGCTCTCGGCCACCATCTCCATCCTCAGCGGAGTCTCTGCGGCATGGTCACCTCATGCTGCCGTTGACGGGAGCTGGATAGTACGGTGGCGACAGAAGAGGACGGGGTGCTGGCTGCTACTGGTGCGCGGAGACATGGTCGCCTTAATATTTTATCGTGGTGCGGTGAAGCGTGGTTGTGCGCAAGACTGAATGAGGACGGGTCCCGGGCATGGAGGGGTGGAGGAGCAAACGTCAACGGCTCGGCAGCCAAACCCCTAAAGGCCCTAGCTAGTGGCACACGGTCCATCGATCATGGTGCAGAAAGGTGAGCACGGCCATGGTGCCGAAGGGGACGCGGTGGCACACGGGCCACCAGCTAAGCAACGAGGCTGGCTCGCTCGAGGAGCCGTCATGTCCGGCTGTGCAGCAGCCGATCAAGCGCACGAGGTAGCAGTGGCTGAGGCTACCGAGCACCTCCAGCTCAGCACTAAACTCGCAATTGCCGGCACAAGTGGCATGGTCCGCAGAGAGGCACTTCACGGCTTGTGCACGTCCGCCGCGTGAACATTGTGCTTCGACCACGTCCGACCCCCTGGACTCCCACGACGCATACCACGCCACCATCGAGCATCGGCGACACAGACGAAGCCAGCAAACCTAGGCGTCTCAGCCACAGCTACGACAGCGACCATGGTTGACGTGACGAGAGGCCGAGCCCCAGACCCGGCGGCTGTCGTTGACGACCAGCCAAGACGTGTAGATCCGACCAGTGGTGCTGGTGGTGTGCTCCTACCTAGTCGGGTGACGAGGTGGTGCCGGTGGCGGAAGTGCATGTGTGTGATTTGCTTGATCAAATGCCCAATAGAGAGATGAGAGGATGGCTTTGTTAGGTTGAGCTTTTTTGTCCAACTTCTGCTTTGAGAAAGCTAGAAGCTAACCAAAGGGGTAATTTTGACAGCAGCTTTTGTAAAAGCTACAGCTTTCACGTCGAAGCCAGCCTACCGTTTTCTCTTCTTCGGCAGATGAAGTTGAAGAGTCTACAGCTTCTCAACCAACCGTTTTCAGCTGTCCCCTAGAAGTTTGATAGTATTTACCCACCTTTGCCACACCCAAGTGAACGTAACCCTTCAATCTGTTCCTCTCAGCAGCCTCGCAGGAACAAAGGGGACCCCCTAGTCGCACTCCAGCACGACCGAGCAGCCAGCCCCATGCAGGAGCTAGGGTTGGCCGCCGCCAGCCACTGCAGCCGGACTGGACTCCAGTGACCCTCCAACCCCCGCCGACGCCCGGAGCAGCGCCCCACTGCCGGCCCAGGTACACTCTCGTCCCCTCCCTCCTTCCTCCCTCTTCCCTCTTCTATCCCCGTTTCCCGCGGCCCTGGTCCAGCCGGCTGTCCGGCACCGCCGGCGCACCGGCCCTCCTTTCTCCTCCCCCCTACTCCCTCCCCCCTCCACCCTTCTCCTCCCTCTTCTTGAATCAGCCAGATCTGGCGTGACCCTTACCTTGCTCGGTGCAGACGGCCACATCTGGGCTGGCCCTCTCTTCCATCCTCACTCTTTTCGCATCCTCCTCCCCTCCCCTGTTATGTTAATTATTTCTGCCTAACTTGTGTATGCGCTGTTGTTCAAAACAAATTGATGGGAGTTGTATTGGATGAGTAATTGCTGTATACTTGATATTTTGAGGGTATGATGATGATGGTTTGACAGTACTTGCTGCATATTGTTGTATATTGATGTACAATGGATGATATTTTGATAGTATTGTTGCATATTGTTGTACATTGGATGATTTTTTGAGATTATGTAAGTGGATTGTTCTTGATATGTGTTTGTCATATCGCTTGACTGAAGTATGACTGAGAAGGCGGTGTGGGATGATGCACATCTGAAGAAACTCATCAAAATCTTGAAAGAGGTTGAAAATGGGAATAGACCCTTTAGGTCATTTAGATAAGGGTTGGATAACGTTTTGGAGAAATGGGAAGCAAGAACGGGAAAGAAGTATCCCAAGGATAAATTCAAGAACAAATGGGATGCAATAATTAGTATGTTCTTTCAAGGAGTTGAACAATGAAGCAACTAGGCTTGGATGGATGATGAAAAGAGAACTGCTGATTGCTCTAAGGAATGGTGGATGAACATCTTCAGGTAAGAGTATTAAAAAAGGTTCATTTTGCATGGTTTTATATGATTGCACTACCTAACTTGTACATTTATTTTCAGATATGCCAGGAGAAGACAGGAAAGAAATGCATCATTTCAAGTTCAAACGACAGGGGCTGAAGCACCTTGAAGTACACATCATATTTGACAAAGTAAATGTCACAGGGGCTAGTGCTTCTTGTGCTGGAGATATACCCTCTGATGAATCAAGTGATGATAATGCGGTTCCTATGGAGAAACCCGATGATAGTGCTGAAATGACGTTGGCATCTTTGAAAACACCAAAAGCAAGCAAGAAGCGCAAGCAAACCTCTAATGCAAACGAGGAGAAGGATGGGAAGAGTCCCTTCTTACAATTGTACAAGCAGATATGCGAGAAGATAGAAAGTGGACTGCAGAAGATAACCTCTAGTGTTGAAGCATCATCGGCTCCTCCCTGCCATTTCAGAGATCATAAAGATAACGGTGGCTGAGGCTACCGAGCACCTCCAGCTTGGCACTGAACTCACGATCGCCACCACCAGTGGCATGGTCCGCGGAGAGGTGCTTCACGGCTTGTGCACGTCCCGCGGCATGAACTCTGCGTTGACCATGCCCGGCCCCGTGACGCGTGCCGCGCCACAATCGAGCATCGGCAATACGGACAAAGCCAGCGAACCTAGGCGACTCCGCCACAGCTACGACGGCGACCATCTTCGACGTGACGAAAGGCCAAGCCCTGGACCCGGCGGCCGTCGTTGACGACCATCCAAGACGTGTAGGTCAGGCCAGTGGTGCTGGTGGCGTGCTTCTAGCTGATGTTGCCTAGTCGGACAACGAGGTGGTGTCAGTGGCGAAAGTGCATGCGTGTGAGTTGCTTGATCAAATGCCCACTAGAGATGGGAGGAAGATATATGATTAATAGAAGAGAAATTTTGCCACGTCAGCGAAGACCGGTCACAACAGGGTCAAGTCAGCAGCTATACCAGGTCGGCTGAGACGAGGGAGTAAACTTGTCCGGTTTGAAGAGTTAACGGTGCAGAGTACGGTTTTCACGCTGAGGGACCAAATATAGACTTCCGGAAGAGGTGTGGGATGAAAAATCGACTTCTCTTTTGAATTATATAGCCTACAGAGATCTATATACTCCTGCCCAGCTCCTCCGGTATCATATCATAAATACTCTCTACTAACCATACATTCGGAGTAAAGTAAATACCTGACTAAGGAAATTTTCAAGGGTTCCAAGCTTTCCCATGGCCATGGCCATTTGCCCCATGTAGTTTGCCACATTTCCTGTTGATCCAGATCCAGAAGAGCCGATAGACCCAGCCAACGTTTCTGCCAAAGACTGCTGAAGAGCCTCCATTCCTTGTGAAAGAGCATCCTCAGCTTGTTGTGATGATTGCTGAAGGTTGCATATCCCTGACAGCTGCTGCTCAGTTAGGGGTTCAAGCTGGGTCGAAAGAAGCTGCAGTTTCTTGGTTTATTAGTAACTCATCAATAAATACATCAGCATTCAAACAAATAAAGGAGACAAAGGAAGTATCAAAGAGATGCAAAACAAGACGCATGATATTGCGTTCTCAAAATCCGTAATTTGCCTACATCCCCATATATTATTTAGTGTAACCTGATAATATACAGCACAGAGAAAGATGCATAGATACTCCCTAACAACAACAACAACAACAACAACAACAACAACAAAGCCTTTAGTCCCAAACAAGTTGGGGTAGGCGCATAGATATTCCCTCTGTTCTAAAATAAATGCCCTTCTATATTGCCCTCCATTTATTTTCATGTTTATCGCTTTCTTCTCACCAAGGCATTAAAATGCCCCATTTTCCTCCTCAAATTAAGGCACCCAAGCATGAGTTAATTAGTTCCCGTTTTTGTGACACTGATAAAGGGTAAGGGCATGTACAATAGACCTATACAAGCTGTATTTAACAGGAGCCACATAAGAATTTTGATGATGTGGCGGAAAGAGAAAAAGGAGAAAGAGTGTCACAGCCTAACGAGTTTTTACAGACAAGACTGAGTTTTTTCTATTGTCTGAATGTTCTTTCTAACTTTTAATCAAAATTACCTATGAGTAGAAAGACTACTAACAGACGGATCATTGTATAGGCTATCTATACAGCATGGTCCATATGTGACATGGAGGGATACATTATGGACAGCACCTGTCTGTACTATTGTATACTCCCTCCGTTCCTAAATATAAGTCTTTCTAGAGATTCCAATATGGACTACATACGGATGTATATAGACGTAGTTTAGAGTGTAGATTTACTCATTTTGCTCCGTATGTAGTCCATATTGGAATCTCTAAAAAGACTTATATTTAGGACGGAGGGAGTACATGACCTAATACAAACACAATGATTCAAGTTGTAATTGAAGTGCAGAAGGACAAGTATTTGAGAGAAGTTGGATAGCCTATAAGGTCATCTGTTTTGAAACAGAGGGTTTGTACTGACAATTTTTTCATTCTAGACTAAGATATTCTAGAGCAACATTGGTCATGCTAGATGATTTTGATATTCCGAAGGACTACAAGTAAAGCACATGGCTGCATTACACACCTTTAAAAGCTCAGAAGGTCGGAAACCTCCAAGCCATAGGAAACACCTCTCAGCTGGTGTCTTCCACATGCCTGATAACACATGAAAGACATCTGCTTTGGCTGCATTTCCTTTTTGCTTAAAAATCTCATCATAGTGTGACATGATCTTCTCAACAACACTACGCAGCTCAGTATCGCCTGCATGAGCATTAACTGCAGCTCTCAGCTCATTAACTTGTCGATTGTGTTCTTCCAACCACCGTGCGTACTCCGTGTCAAAAGCCAACGCCCCTGTAACAAAAGGCAGCATAGTTATAATATACAAAAATAAGAGAATGTGGCATGTATTTGTTGGATACGTTCATGGTGAAAATTAAGAAAATAGTTCATGTGGCATACAAAGATTACATATTGATCACTGGAGAGATCTGATATTACCATTTCCACTCATGGAATGGGACTGGTCTGCTGAACTAGATATAAAAATGCCCTGTGAAGGAAATTTCCATAAGCAAACTTCAAATGAAGTCTTGTAACCAGAACTCAAAAAAGTGACAAGCAATAAAAGCAAACTTGTTGACGAGCTCGTTGCAACTCCTGCTCTAGCTGGGTAAGCTTTAGCCTGCTGTTCTCCAATTGTTGAACATATGCCTACAAAAGAGAACAACATTACGAAAACAATATACAATACACAGGCCACGCCGCCACGGTCAATCTATAGTAGAATTGTGAAAATGATGACTTTGTAGCAATGAATTAAATATTGTGATGTTCTCCATAAGCGAACTCCGTTTTGATTCTCAACGATGGAACAGTTCACCCGAAACCTCCGCAACATAATCACCGAAAGCTCCTTAAGAAGCCAACCAGTAGAAACTTTGAACTCTTTTAACGGCTTACAGGCAAAACCACTAGACCCGCTTCTGTGCTTAATCCAATCTAAAAATTATACACAGGCCTACACGAGTTCATCCATCCTCTCTACATTTTTCCAGCAATATAATGTGTATACTGCACTAGCGCCAACAATAACTGAGCCCCAATAGAAAAATAAATAAACCCAATAGCAAAATGCAGTTTAGTTATATGAGAGTGGCATAATTCAAGTACTAGTAGAATGCAATACCAAGTGAACCAAAAGTCTCACAAAAATAAAAGCACTGTCATTAGTAAAGAAGCTAAAAGTAACATCCAGGTACCTTTTTCCTCAAACGACTTTTCCTAGCAGCCTCGCGATTTTGAGCAAGCCGACGCATTGTCTGCAACATAAGCTATTAGCAAAGTATTTCTTGCAAGTAGCAGGAGCGATAACGTGAAATGAAATGGAGAAAGCTACTTGAAAACTTTTACCTTTTGATCTCCGTTTTTGTCTCTGGATCTGTCACTAGAGTCAGAAACAACAGCAAGAGCAGCATTCCCTGGTTCAAGCTGCGGATGACAACATACTACTATCAGGCTTGCTTTATTCTTATTTTTAAACAATTAAATTCCCTCTCATAGATTCCTGAAAAACCTGATTCAAGCTGCGGATGACAACATAACTATCAGCGTTATTCTTATTTTTAAACAATTAATTTCCCTCTCCTAAATTCCCAATGTTTCAGCATAAAATATGAATGAGATTTTCCACTACATAACTGAAAAGCAAAACTAGTTTACTTCTCTTTTATGCTTCTCCTGTTCTTGAAAAACTAGTGGACTAGTTAAGGGTATTAGGGCATCTTCCTAGTCACTTATATGCAAAAAATGATTTTGGCCACTTAGCATAGCAGCTCCTGTTTTGTGTATCCTTTGGTTTACTATTGTTTTATCATCTATCAAGGACATGTATGTTCTGCATCGCAGACATAACGTATTTTGGGTGCCCATATTGTAACTGTCAAAATTACCATTTTCAACTACCACATAATCTACATAGACCTCAGCAGATGAGTTGAAAGGTCTATGTTATACTCCCACCGTCCCAAAATAAGTGTCGCTGATTTAGTACAAAGTTGTACTAAATCTTATTTTGGGGCGGAGGGAGTATGCACGTAGTTGTACATGTGTGATACTCCTGAATCCTGATGGTCCAATTTCACAAGCTATCATAAAGACAGAATACAAATAAATGGTTGTTGAGGAACTAAGACAAGGTCAAGGGGTTTGAGGATCATATCAAGCAGTGAGCCAACTTAACAAGTGTTATATTATATTTCCAAAAGTATATTGTGCTAGATATCTTAATAGGTAAAGCCGACTGTTCATGTTTTTTCACTCCTAATTTCATGGATATCTACGTGAACTGTCAATTCACAACACATAGTTATATTGGATTATGAAATGTGAAGGTTCTGTTCTATTGTGTAGTAATCTAAACAGGACTGATGGATACCATACAAAATTCTCCAATCTACCCAGTATTGTAAGAGTGGTTCTCTCATAACAAGATCTCAAAAAAAATCTAAGTAGCAGCATAGTGAAATCACTATATACTGACTTTTTAGTTTACACATCTTTCACGAATTTAGACCATTAAATGAACGGCAAAGCTAATAGAAATATCTTACAGAACACCCTCTACATTTGGTCAACCCCTCTTATTTCAACTTCTGTAGCCACTATTGCTCGCATGGTTTAATGTAATGGTTGATCTCATAACCACTGATTCTGTTTCCAAGTGAAAATGATAAACCTCAGTACCTCACTATTGATATCATTGTTTACAATTATTATATGATCACTCATATACATTCAGTAAAAATAGTTGGGCTGTTCTCCACTCCATAGTCCATACAATAGCTGAGCTAATTAAGGTAAGAAAAGACTTACCATAAGATTTTCATCAGTATCATCTGTTGACGTTTCTGTTCTAGGGCTGGCCTCTGCCATTGCAGATTATTCCTAGTGCTCAATGTAACTCCCAGAGAGATTCCTTTGTTGTGACAAAGCTGCAGATATATGCCTAAACACTGATGAACAAACCATTTCAATAAGATATAATATGCAAAGATTAAAGATGCTGTAAGCCAGACATGATCAATCTGCCAATTTGTTTCTAACTACTAAATATCTAGGTGGCATTGAGCAACAAACGATTAATTAATATGATAAACAGACTCAAATGGCAAGATTGGTAAACAACATGCATTTATATGGGAGAACATAGTTCAACAAGCAAAATTTATACGTGACGAATAAAGTTCTACATGCATACTCATGACTTCCACGCAGGCTTGAGATGTCAATTTCTGGAGTTACACAATTGCAACCAAGAAATGAATTGATGACTTAAATGCCAGGTAACGTGAATCTTATTCTTCATATTTCCATTGGTGAATAGCTCAAACCAAACCCAAATAATATGATGAATATCACAACCCCCTCCAAATATAAGGCGGCTCCATTTATAGTTCCCACTTTTCACATTTACAAATCGGCCACTGTTCATGTTAGATTGGAAGTGAGGGATTGGAATCAACCACGTTTCAGTACAATATCTTGCGGTCATCATTTCCTAGCATAGAAATTAGTCGACATTCTGGTTTAAAAATTGCTGAAGCATATGTGGAATGGGACACCTTCTCCATAAGTTCGGACTTTTGGGTGAACTGGTTGGTGCGTGAAACATATAATGGTATCAGAGTCAGAGGTCTCAAGTTCGAGTTCTGGCTAGAGCGTTTGCTCACCCCTATTCACAAACACGGGGGCGAGAGTGTTAGTCGTGCCCACGTTTGAGGCGAGGGTGCTTGCACGTGTGGGTTGTGTTGAAGTATATGTGCAATGCCCAACCTTCTCCATAAGTTCGGACTTTTGGATAACTGGTTGAAGCATGAATTCAATAGTGTATCAGAGCTGGAGCTAAGCTGGTGCAACAATCTGAGTAACTGGTTGGTGCATGAAACATAACAAAAATATCTTGTGGGCTGGCAATTATCTAGAATATTCATCATTTTGTTCAAAACAAGAACCGGATGATACAGAAAAATGTAATGCTAGGACTTACCAATACCTCCGCAGCAAACAAAAAATGGAATCGACTAAAAGGCAGGATTACCAAAAGCGACAACAGCCACAAAGACTAGATGCTTATTTATCATGACCTGAAAAGAAAACTTTTTAACATCCCGATCACTTATAGTTCGCAACTCATAGTAGGCTACTAAGGCTAGGAATCGATTGCCTTCCTATCATTGCAATCTAGAGTAGTACATGAATGGAGCTAAGCTGGCGCAGCAATCTGGAAAACAACCAAAATGTAACCATGTAAACTCGCTGCGAGCTAGCAGTAACTTCAACCCGCAGCAAAAACAAGGGAAAGATAAGGGTCCTCGAATCACCTCGATAGGAAGAGGGGCCTCTATCCGAACTACGGGGTAGTAGACTGCCGCCGTCGCCGATCCTTTTGCGGCCGCCGCTGCTGCGAGCTCCCCGAGCTACCGCCGCCGCCGCTCTTGGCCTACACCACGAGCCCGGCGAGCAGGACGCGGCTGCGGCTTCCTGCCGCCGTAGGTCCCGCCGCCGGGGACGCCTCTTTGGTTGCGGCTGGGGAAGCGGAGGGCACGGTAGTTCGGGGGGCGGTGCTCCCCGGAAACGAACTGGAACGAACCCTAGTTTATTTTCTCTCCCCCTTACTCCTTTTTACGTGAGCATAAAAGGAAACACGCCTCTCCTGGCTCCTAGTAGGCAAAATGCACAAATTTAACCCCACGCAGAATTATTTCACAAACTAAACCGTCGCTGCACATTCAACTGATCCTTTTGTGCAGCGGTCAGATGTTGCACTCTATTGAGCAGCACATTACCAACACGCATTGCACGCCTGACCAACATGGTACCTCGGGGTCAGACCCGGCCCCACACCTGGTCGTGCAACGCCTAGCCGACAGGCGCACATTCACTTACCTAGCGTTGTGACCCCTAGCCCATCCCCCACACACACCCACAACGATTTGGCTCCTCCCCCCTCCCATTTCTCCTCTCCCCTTTCAAATCCTTCCCCAAATCCTGCAAATCTGAAGGTTTTGTCTGTATCCCTCTCTCGATGTAATCTCCTCTGATCCCCTCGTTTCCGAAAAAATGCTCCCATTTGCTCAATTCTTGCTAGGGTTAGGCAAACCCTAGTTCTTCATGGATTTGGGAATTTGTATGGAAATATGAGATGATTGTTTTGGCATCTTGCCAGGGTTAGACTTTTTAGTATGTTAGGGTTAGGGTTATGGTTCTTGTTATGTTGGGGTTAGGGTTAGGGTTATGGTTTTTGTTAAGTTGGGATTATATTTATTGTTTGCTATCTATGTTAGGGCTTTGGATTTTGTGTTAATCTTTAGGTGAGTACTTACGAAATATATTTTACATTGTGTTATTTTAATTAACTAGCACATATGCCCATGTATTGCAACGGAAGAGATTTTTTTTGCGAGAAGCAACGGGAAAGATAATTGATGTGTCATCCAAAAAAGGTCTCCACAATGATAGGCGACAGAGCAATGAGTTATGGTCTTCTCGCTAGACATGTTTGACATGCGAAATCTTGATAGTGGTGGGGTTGGTCGTCATGGTGGCGAGCATCCAACTAGTGCATTTTTTCCTCCGGGTCCGCATCCATCTCGTGGTTGTGCATGCCTCCTCATTTGATGGCTGCGCGGCGACCTTCATGACAGGTTGCTTCGACCACTCTCTACTACGATGACGTAACCGAGAGGGTTATTAATTGAAGCACATAAATCTCGTTTCATTAGCATAATCAGGCATGAATGTCCCTTCTTTAGGTGAGTTTATTCTCTTTGATTATTTCACTGCTCAAGTGTCCATAATTTTGCTCTAATTAAAGTCAAACAACATATTCTCTTTTATTGGCATGTGCCTATAATTTCTTTCATTTATAGTCAACCAGCATAGAACGAACGTGCACCGCTAACCAATGGTCAACGTTAGATTAGAATTTTTTTTTATTTTTTTAACATTCAAACAAATATGAATTGTGAATATTCTTCAAAACGTGGACAATTTTTTAAATCCCGAACAATTTTGAACAAATGCAAACATTTTTTAGTTTCCAATATTTTGGGAAAACACAAACAAAATTAGAAATATGAATAGTTTTTAAAATTCACAAACAATATTTTGAAAACATGAAAAATTTATAGAAACACAAATAATTTTGAAATTTTGTTTTTTTTCAAAGGGGAACATTCATAACAATTTTAGAAAATGAATTCTTAAACACGAACATTACTTTGGATTTGTGGTCATTCACTAAAAAGGAATGTTTTCAAATATGGAACATTTTATAAAATGTCATTTTTATAAAACAAATTTTGAAGAATGTTTGAAGAACACAAACATTTTTCTAAAAATGAGAACTTTTTTAAAACTGAGAACTTTTTTTGAATGCTAAGAAAATTTAACACGTGGATTTTTTAAATGTTTTGAACATTTTCAAAACAGGAATGAAGTTTTGCAATTATGACCATTTTTTGAATATTTCGACAAAAATTGAAATTCTGAATATTTTTGTAAATCTTTAGTTCACAAAAAAATAAGGAAACAGAAAAAAAAAGAGAAAGGAATAGAAAAAAATAGAAATAGAACAACGAAAAAGGGGAAACGGGCCGGCCCAATCTTAGGCGCCCTGTGGGAAGCTTCAACTATTTATCGCTCCATGCGACAAATAAGGTCTTCCCAACTACATGGGCAATAATAATTGGATTGGCTTCGTTGGGCCGGACCACGCACGTGGCCCAATTGCAAAATTCTACAGAAACCTTTTTAAGTTTCTAACGGATAGACGCATAAAAATTTAGTACCACAACAGATATATAAAAAAATCGATGATGAACGGATGAGAAAAATTGAAGAAACGCATGTCGGTGTCAAAACCGGCAGATCTAGGGTAGGGGGTCCCGAACTATGCTTCTAAGGATCGAAGGTAACAAAGGAGGCAGGGGACACGATGTTTACACAGGTTCGGGCCCTCTTGATGGAGGTAATACCCTACTTCCTGCTTGATTGACTTTCATGAGTATAGGGGTTACAAGAGTTGATCTACCTCAAGATCGTAATGGCTAAACCCTAGATGTCTAGCATGTATCATTGTGATTGCCTCTATGGACTAAACCCTTCAGTTTATATAGACACCGGAGGGATCTAGGGTTGTATAGAGTCGGTTACAGAGAAAGGAAGGTACATGATCCGAACGCCAAGCTTGCCATCCACGCAAAGGGGAGTCTCATCCGGACACGGGGGAGGTTCTTCTATCTTGTATCTTCATGGCCCATCAATCCAACCCATATCACATAGCCCGGACGCCCGAGGACCCCTTAATCCAGGACTCCCTCAGTAGCCCCTGAACCAGGCTTCAATGACGATGTATCCGACGCGCAGATTGTCTTCCGCATTGCAAGGCGGGTTCCCCTTTCCGAATACTCAAAAGTAGTTTTCCGCATACAAAGAGCTGTGTCCGGCTTTGCTTAACATGTGCAACCCTAAGCTGTAAAAAGCAACAATACTTAAAATAAGTCACGTCCACGGGCCACTTTTCTGAAGAGACGTATAGTTCTGGCCTTATTATTATTCTGAACCGTTTTACAGCCTCGTTTCACATTTTGAGTTATGGATAATGACACGTCTTGTCCAAGAAGAGTCCCCTTATTACGTGATTCTTATCAATAGGGGTCTTGGGTAATCCAACCGTGTTGTTCACACGTCCCCTTGGGAATAGGCGAGATTTAAAGCTTATGAGGGGGTGCTTGATATTCGCTAATACGTCTCCAACGTATCTATAATTTATGAAGCATTCATGCTATTTTATTACCTGTTTTGAATGATTACAGGCTTTATTATACACTTTTATATTACTTTTGGGACTAACCTACTAACCGGAGGCCCAA